GGAAAAGAAGTCAACTTTTATGAATCATCAAAGTCAACAGCATATTTAAAGACAGGAGACAAGACCAGGAGGAAGACAGAGAAGTCTCCTGGGGCATTATAATACATTTTCCAAGTAATAGCAGAATCTATTAAAAAAAGAAAAGCATTGCTTTGGACCCTGCAATTTTACCTCTAAGAATCAAACTTTAGAAAACATGCACAAAGGAGCACAAGGACACATGTAAGTGTGCCACCAAAAAATCATTTGTAATAGGAAAAAATGTAGACAACCAAGATTCTCAATACAGAATGGAGTCAATAAACTCTTGACAACTAAACTATGAATTAACTTGTTGGATGTCCCAAATTTACAGAAAATATAAGGAGACCCATGATATATTAAAGGATAAAAAAAAAAAAAAAAAGCTAGGGGACAGAAAATAAAGCTTTGTGCTGAGTATGACATAGAACATGTCTATAAGGACATATCCCAGGTGGATGAGAAGTTAGTCATCTCTAGGGGCTGGGGTGGGGATGGGAGAGTGACTTCACTGTTTTTTTTTTTAACCAAAAACTACGCATTATTTTAATTTAAAAAATGCAAAAACATCCTAGACATTGTGCCACTAACTAAGGTTGGCAATTTCTGCCCAGGATCTCTTGGACATTTCTAATGAAACCCAAGAGTCCACATTCTGACTGAGGTACTCTGGAGACGGAACTGCCATGTTACAACCCATCCCCCAACACACACACATATGCAAATATAAGCACACACACAGGAAAGACCACCTGTCTGCTGCTCTCAAGTGGGAGAGGGCCCAGACCCCAGGCCATGGGGCCTCCCTGTCCAGGGTTGCCTCATTTCCTCAAGGATAAATCATGCAGAGGGCTGGGGAGCCCCACAAATCCCTCAAGCAAACATGCAAGTCAAACAGCGCCATTCACCCCGCAAAGGCCTCTTCAAGTTAACAAGGCGTGGGAGGAACCAGGCAACAAAACCAGCCTTGTCCAGCAAGGTCAACCTTTGCCCTCCGGCCCTGTGGGGAGGAAACCTGTTGCCACCCCCATGTCCCCTGCTTCCTCTGCTGCTGGCTTACCCAAGACCTGAGTTTTCCACAGCTCAGGCAACTATCCCTGACCTGGTAAAGGTGAAAAGGCCTGTGAGCTGAGAGATCCACGCCCACCCCCGTGGCAGCCTGAACTCTTCTCCTGGTGGGGTCTCAAGGTAGCACCTGGTAGGGGCACTGGTCTACCCGAACAGAACTAGGGAAACTCTTTGACTGCGGTAATAAACTACCCCCAGCCGTAGGAAAAGAACAAGGAATGGCATGGAGGGGTGGGAGAGAAAACCTTTCCATGTCAATAGTAGGGAGAAAAGGAAAGGGGGCTTGAGAGGGGATAATCTTGGTCTGGCTGTTTGTACAAACTGTGAAAGGCCTGAGGGAAAACAGTGATGAAATTTTATGCCTTGTAAGGGCAGAATTTTTTTTTTATGACAAGGTGATAACTGGAGTCTTTGAGATAATTCACATACCATACAATTCACTCTTCAAGTGCACAATTCGGTGGTTTTTGGTACATTCACAAGGTTGTGGGTGGGTGGGGGCTGCCCTCAGCTGGGGTTCTCCCTGCCTCTCGGGCAGCATGTGCCCCCTGAGTCACCACAGCAGCTCATCCTTATCTGCCTCACACACTGGATTTCTCCAGAAGATTTCTTTTGGGGTAAAAACAGTTTGCCTCTAAACAACTGAAAACTCACAGTCCTAACCCTTTACTCTAAGAAGTTCTGTGGACCGTCTAGGAAGGAGGAAGGGCCTCTGCAGGGGTTTTCAATGCATGCAGCACGGTACTAGCCATAGGCTGGTACAGCACGTTCTCCTTGGTACCTCATTTCATCCTTAAAGTGATGCTTCCAGAGCATCCCCCACTCCGCTCCTGGATCTGTGAAGGGGACAGAAAAGGAAAGTGGGGCCGGTTGAAGCTGCAGTCTGAGATCATGCAGGAGGTCAGCGGAGGGTTTCTCGTGGTGCTGCCCGGAGAGAGCAGCTAGACTCCTGCTGCCCTGGCCTTTGCTCACCCCTCCCCTTCCACAAACCCTTCTTATTGCCAAGGCTCCAAAAGGGCCTGCTAACTCCTGCCGCCAGACCTGACCCCACACAACCAAGCCCCCTAATCAGAGGGTTCACAAAAAAGAAGTCTGATATCTCCAAGTATATTGAACTCAGAGTCCTTCACTAAGCCTGCTCTGGGTATTCCAGATAAGGCTTCAACAAAGATCAGAGAAAATCAACGACGGAAGCCAATTTTTCAATAGAATACAGGTTATAATGGGAAAATACTGAAAATAGCCCAAAGGTCAGTCAATAGGAGACTAGTTAAATCAATCATAGTGCTTCTTTGTAATTCAATACTGGGCAGCAGTTAAAAACAAAAGTAGAATTTGTACTGAAATAAAGATTCACGTGATATATTCAGCCCCACGAAAAAACAATGTCAGCAACAAAATGAATAGTATGATCCCATTCTGTGAAATAAATTAACAAAATATAAGGGCTCTATGAGCATAGATAAAAATCTCAAACTTTTCACTGGTAGTACACTCATGGAAGTTATTTCTCCGGAGTGAGACAACAGGAAGAAGTCTACCTTTTATTTTAAAAATGGCAGTATTGTTGGGTTCTTTTATTATGTTACAAAATGAATATTCATTTTGCAATTTAAAAAAAATTGTATAAAAATGAAAAGAAAGCCTTGTCTTTCCTGTTTCTGAACAATTTAACCTACAGCCATAAGGTGAAGCAGAGCGGGGTGGCGGGCTACAGTTGGTGCACAACTCTCGTGGCCTCGTCAGAGCCTGCAGAGGATAAGGAGGCGCCACGTGGAGGTGAGGCCTGGGGGAGGGCACACATGGAGCATGAAGGTGCAAAAGGGTGAGAAGGGGGTGGCATGAGAAAGGGGGCTACAGAGGCGAGGGGAGGGGTGTATACACAGGGGGTCTGACTGAGTAAGTAAATAAAGAATAATAGCAACTGAGTTTCACGCTGCTATAAAAGGGAGTTACAAAAATGGAAAGATAGAAAACTAGAATGAATTCTGTGATATTGTAGTATGAGACTGGAATTGGAAGAGTTTAGTGTGAACTCATGGTTTTTTAATATATGTATCACCTACTGAAAATACATATAAGATGCAGATATAAGGGGGAGGAGGGAGAGAGAGACACAACATAGAAATGTAAGTGGGGTGGGCAGTGTGGTATACTCAGACACTCCCGACTCTGTTCACTGAGAGGGCCTGGGAACAGTGATACCCCAGTAGCTATAAGCATACTCAGCACTTAGATCTTCCTTCTAAATACCATTCTCCACTAAAAGGAATTGAGGGCTCCTTAGAGAAATGGTTGATTTCTAGAGCAAGGGCAAGGAAATTATAAAGTGAGCTTAGAACATCTTCTTGTGCCAGAGAACAAGGAATGCTCAAAGAGTGAGGAGAAGCAAGCTTGAAGGGGCTCCTATTGGCCACAATGGATTATAACCCACTGAATAAAACAGGAAACCATAAATAAATAGGTAGGTAGGTAAGTGATAAATAAACAAAGGGAAAATAAGTAACTTTACAATAGCGATACCACCTTAGTCAGGTGATCAAAGTGAACGTCATCAGTAATGGGTCATACCAAGCCAGGCCCCAATCAAGAGGATGCAAAGAGGAAAAAGCAGCATCACGTCCTGATAGTCCTGCCTAAGATGCATAAAGGGGATCGAATAGTGAGGATCAGACTAACGCAGGATGAAGGACAGCCTACAAAATAACTAGACTGTAATCTTCCAAAGCATCAAAGTCATGCAGGTCAAAGCCTAAGGAACTGTTCCAGACTGAAGGAGACCAAAGAGACACAATAGCTGAATGCAAGGCTTTATTCTGAACAGGACCCTTTTCCTATTAAAGACACGATTGAGACAGCTGGCAAAGCCCAAATGGAGCCTGATGATTAGGTGGCAGTATGTACTGATGTTAACATTTACGTTACGGTTACATTGGAAAATATCCTTGCTTGTAAAGACACGTTAGCATGTTCGGGGGATAAGGTTGGCAACTTTTAAATAATAAGGGAAAAATAATTTTCTGCACTATACTTACGACTCCTCTGTAACTCTGTAATAGTTTTGTAATTTAAATTTTGTAAATTATAAAAATAAAGCAGTGTAGATAATATCACGCTCAATTATCAGAGAAGTTCAGGATGTTCCATGTCAGCTATATCAAGCAAGCCCCAATGGTCCTGCTTTATTTAACTCAGGAAACCATAAATGATGGAGATGGGTTCTCCACCTAATCAGACCTACCTTCTGGCCCTCCCTAGTGTTGTCTTCCAACCCCACACATCTAACCATCTGTGGACATAGAACATGTCATCAGCCCCTATCATATCCCTGGGCAGTTCCAGACCGTCAGCTACAAGAGAACTGGCCGACATCACTCACGGCAAGTTAATGTTCTAACTGGCCTGCTCCTTATGCCTTTGTCAATGTGAAACAAGAGCTGAGCAGAGCGAAGAAACAGACTGGGAATGCACAGAGCAGCAAAAGCAACAGGCCACACAACCACCCCAAAATAACAGTGATAACTGCTCCATCTCCTATTTGCATAGGGCTTTAATATTTCCAAGCTTCTCTCCACCTGTAATCTCATGCAATCCAAGCTACAGAACCCCAAGCCCTGGACAAAGTTGAATTCCTGTCACACACTGCATAGCACCTCCTCCATGGCAGCCCTTGCAACATTCATAATGATACACGAATACATGTTGTTATTTGATTAACATTTGTCTCCTCCATTGGACTGCAGAGTCCAGGAGAGCAAGGGCTGAGTGTTTGTTCACAGATACCCTAGTCCCTCACACGAGGCGGACACTCCAGAAATAGCTGTTAAATGATCATGTGGGTGGATGGGTGAATGGGTAGGTGGGTGGGTGACTGACCTTGGTTTGCACCCAGCTGCCCGGCCCAACCCTACCTGCTGCTGCTGGGCCCGGAGATCACCGATCTCCTTCTGGTCCTCCTCATGGAGCCGCTTCATGTCCTCCCACGACTGCTGCAGCAGGTTACGTTCCCGTAGCAGCTGCCCATTCTCCCGCCTCAGCATGTCCACATCATCCTTCAGCTGGGTCTGGTCACTCAGGAGCCGGCTGTGGAGTGTGCTGAAATACCACCCCCCAACACAGTAAGCCCCAGACAGCCTCCAACCCCCACCCCAAGGCATCACCAGCCTCTCCAGGACCCAAAACTCCCAATACAACAGCCAGGAACAATAGAAGCTGGGTCCACAGCACTCAGGAGCAGGCCAAAGCCTGCTATCAGCCAGATGCCAGAAGGATCCAAACCACTTATTAAAAGCCTGACACCAAAAAGGGCATGTATACAAAACCAAAAAAAGGGGTCGTGGGGAGGTAAGCCCCTACCTGGTGTAAACCTGGCACCTCCACGTACTAAGGTACTGAGGCCTGGGCAAACATCAGCAGGTTGGCAGGCAAATACCCTCAGAGGGGCACCAGGAAACCAAAAGGGAACAGGCTCCATCTGTCTCTCCTATGGCTGGAGCTGTAGCAAAGCCCCCTGAACAGTGACTCAGAAGCCCAGGAACCTGCCTGGCTCACCGCCTCATGTCAATTTCCTACCTACTGTGCTTCTGAAGCAGGCAAAAGATGTTGTGAAGGGTTAAAAGCCTAACTTTGCACCTAGGAAAACTAACCCATTTGCTGAAGGCCCACTGCTTGCTATGTGGCAGAGGCAGGACTAGAACCAGAAGCCCTGGCTCCAAGTCTAGAAATAAAGAAGGGTAAGAGGCAGCCATTTTGTAGGCCCCACTCACTGGTAGAAGTCGGTCTCCTTCGCCACCTCCTCACACCTCTTCAAGGCATTGGTGTGCTGGTTCTGCAGGCTCTGCAGGTCAGACATGGCCCGCACGCACTGGATCTTCAGCCTCTCGTAGTCAGGATTCAGCCTGTGGTAGGGCCTGGCCCATACAGCAAACACTGCCGTGAACACACTGACAGGAATGTCTCTCCCCCAGGAAGCCATGTCCTGGATCAGTCCAGCCCAGCGGTTCCCAACACTGGTCGCCTAATCACCAAAACCACCTAGGTATTTCTTAAGCTCAGATGTCCTGGCCATACCCAGACCAACAGAATCAGAATCCCCAGGATGAAGGGAGCCTTGGTTACCTGAGCTCCCTGCGTGGGCCTGGAGAGCTGAAAGCACCATCTTCTTCTCTAGGAGCTTCCAGGAGACCCTACAACAGGCCTGCACACAGTGGGTCCAGGCCACCAGAAACCTGATATGAAGTTTCTCCTTTCTTCAGAACAGTGATTCTCAATCTTGGGCTCACATTAAAATACCAACGCCCAGACCAATTACATCAGCTTCCTGGGGGTAGGACTCAGACATCCGGATTGTTTTTTGTTGTTGTTGTTGTTTTGTTTTTTTTAACTCCCCAGGGAATTCCAATGTACAACCAAAGTTGAGAACAGTGGCCAGGAAGAGTAGTTCTCAAAGTGAGGTGGCGGGATTTGTAACATTGGTACCACCTGAGAACTTGTTAGAAATGCAAATTGTCAGGCCAGCCCCAGACCTCCTAAATCAGGCACTCAGGAGGGAGGAAGGGAGAGAGGGAGGGAGGGCTAGCTAGCAATCTGTGCTTCAACAACAAGGCCTCCAAGTGATTCCAGTGCATGCTCGAGTTTGAGAATCTCTGCTCTAGAGGAGGCGACAGCAACTCTTTTCTGTAAATGGCCACACAGTAAATCCCTTAGGTTTTGCTGGCCACACAGTCACTGTGCAACCACACACTCTGCCTTGGTAGCATGAAAGCAGCCATGGACAACATGCACTCTGACACCCCGTGTCTTCACTGGCCCTGCCTATGTCCCATCTCACTGGGGCCTAGCCTCGACAAAGCAACCTCTAGAAGCAGGCTTTGCAGCCCTGACATTCACTACAGAGGAACCTTCCTTGGGACAAGGTGTACATCCTAATGCTCCTAAAGGGAAGAGGTTAAAGCAATATCCCTCCCCTCAGGACCCCTACCAGCATCTTCTGGAAGAATAAACCCCTCTGCAGCCCTCCTCCACCTCCATGAAGCCCTCCTGAATCATGCAGGTGTGTAAAGACTCTTCCTCTGCTTCACTCCACAGCCTGCCCTTCCCTGGTATCTACCTCCAAATCCCAACAAATGAAGCAATCAAATATTTTCCTCAAAACAAAGAAGACAAGTGGAATATACCCTTCCTAAAACACATATGGCAGGGTGTAACTACTGTGCTTACAAACCACATAAAGATCCACCCTATAGGAGGTAAGCTAAGGTCTTCTGGGAGACAGTGGCCCATGCACACATGTAGACACACATGCACACACACACACCTACACAGGCAGACCTGTCGAAGGACTGGCAACAGGATAACTATATTAGGGCAAAGGCTGCACAGCACAGCAGCAGTGGATAAGGAGAGAAGTATAATGCCTTGGGTCTGGAAGGCAGAGGCCTAGAGGTGGGTAGTGATGAGCTCAAGACCATCCAGCCAACCAATGATGAGGCACCAAAGTAGGAACAAGCCCTTCCAGCTGCTGCCAAGACCACCCAGTGAACAACCATCTGCAAAGGCCAGGGGAAAAGATAGGAGGCTGGCCCCAGGCTCTTCTGCCATATACACACACAAACACACACACAGGAACACACCACTATCAGGGCCAAATGTATAATTGTCACACAATAACACCTTTCAATCCCCAAGTCATGTAACTCAGGCCATGGGCTCCAATTTTGATTTGGAGAAAGCAAAACAAGCCTGTGCCATCTCTTCCAAAGCCTGAAGCGAAAGTGTTTCAATGTGAGGTGGGGGTGAGGGGACCCCCCAGGAGCTAAGGACCCCCTGGTGGGAAGTGGTCGGTGATAGCATATGGACAATAACCCTTGCCCATTGGCAAGGTGTTGAGTGCTGGGCCAGGGAAGCGACCAATCACTACCTCTTGTCAAAGGTCGTCCCATGAGTCGCAAAGGCCAGGCGCTTCCGTAGTTCATTCCTCTCTCGGGTCACCAGCCGCAACTGAATGGAGAGGTTTTCCACCTTCTCGTTCACCTGCCGGTCAGTGAGGAGGGGTGGCGGGGACGGAGCCTTCCCGGTGGTACCTGGTGGAGGAAAATAATAAAGTGAACTGGCACTTAGACAGCGCTCACCGGGTGCCAGGTACTGCTCTGAGCTTTTGGATTGCATTAGTTACTCCCAACAGCCCTACCAGGTATGTCTTGTTAGCATTCCCCTTTCACAGATGACAACACTGACGCAGAAAGTAAGAAGTAGAACCGAGACCTAAGCCCAGGCAGTCACTGGCACTCAAGCACTCACCCACTCACTCTCTGGGCCCTAGCTGAGGACCTTGAGGACGTCCACTCTTCCCAACCCACCTTTGACACCTCCAAGATGAGTTGTTTGGGGCCTAATCCTGTCATCCTTGCCTAGTCTGGAAACACCAGCAAACAGACCAATCTGAGCCCTGAGTGGAGCAGAAGACATGGCCTAAAGAGGAAGGGACAGCTGGAACCCAGTGAAACTCTCAAGGATGAAGGTAGCCAGCTCCAAAGCTGGGGCCCAAGGGCTGCGTCCCCATCTGCCCATGACCAGGGCTGGACACTCTGCACTGCTCCCTTTTCTGAGGGATCCAACTGTCTGAAGGACCTGCCCAACCAGCCCAGGTGTACAGGCATAGAGGAAGATGTTGGGAGAGCCACCTACAGCTAAGGTTAAGTGTGACGTAATATAGGTAAGTCCTGGGGCCTCTGGCTGCACAGCCCACATCAGGCCCTCATCATTAAAAGTGTCCTGAAGGAAACCCCTTGCCTTATACAATTATGAAGGAACAGTGGCCACCACCAGCACCTCTGACAAGATCCAAATCTATTTCTAAAAGGAGAGCACCTCACTCAAATGTCTGGGAAGAAGAGATGAATTCATGGTGCCTTTATATTTAACTCTGTCCATATGTTCACCTGAGATCTCCTCTAACACTCAGAAATCTGAGATGGGGTCACAGGAACTCAAAGGAGCCATCCCATTTTATGAATGTGATCCAGGAGGCTAACACACCCCAGAGGCACAGCATTTGTCTCCCCAGTAGCCCCAGAGTGTGCGAAGGGCAAGATACATGTCTTCTGACTCTGCTATCCTGACTGTACCCCGACCCAGACTGATCCTTGTTGGCTGACTGCTCATGCAAACCAAGTGCCCCCTCTCCCACAAGACAAAAGACCAGCACTCAGGTGTGGCCTTGTACCTTCCAGGTGTGCCAGACAAAATGAGGAGTTGAACACTGCAGGTGACAAGCTAGACCATGGTCTGAGGGAGGAGTCTCAAGCTCGCAGATCATCAGTACCACTGAATCTAATACCCGCTGAAGCACATGTTATTTTAAAACCACCACCACAACCACCAGGATTCCTGTGCTCCAAGCCAGACCTCTAGGGCCAGAATGTTCTCTAAGGTGGGGCCTGGAGCAACCCTTTCCACGAGCACCTCTCTTCCCCATGGCCTGAGAAGCCTTCCCTCACTTTTCCCCAAAACACCCTGGATTCTCACCCCTGCCCCCTGGAGTTTTGAAAAAAGACGGTTTCTAGCTCTGTGTGGGCTGTGTAACATCTTCTTTTGGCAAATGAAGTCACTTTTAGGAGCTTTAGCCCAGGGCCAGTTCTACACTGTCATGTGATTTGCAGTAACTTACCCAGCTCTCTCACAAGTGGAGCTTCCTCTGGACATGTATCTGATGCCCTCCTGGAGGTGAACATGACTCAACCTCTAAACAACTCCAGGAGGGGGGTGGGGATGGGACCATCTGTGAAGGACTGACAAACCCAAGAGAGTGGGATAAAAAAACTCAAAGAACACCCAGGAAAAAAGGTATTTCAGTGTTCACAGTCATGAGCAACAGCAGACAACACAGATATTTCAGGCATTAACTTAATCTTCCCAACGATCCCAGATGGGTACTAATATTATCATCCCCATTTCAGAGGTGAAAAAACTGAGGCCCAGCAAGGTTAGCTAATCAGCTCAAAGCTGCACACACAGCAAGCGGTGCCCTAAGATGAGCCCAAGCATCTGGATTCGGAGCACATGCTCCTTGGCACCGCGCCTTACTGCTTCCCAAATGACAACCTGAGCAGCATTCACTTCGTACCTGGCAATTTTTGAAATGCTTTCCATACATCATCCCGTTCAATACCCTTAAGGAAGATATTTGTGTTATTCCCATTTTACAGATCAAGAAACAAAATCTTATCAAGGTTAAGTAAAATGTCCAGGTCACAGAGCCAGAAGATGATAGCACTAAACCTCCCTCTATGACCCCTGAACCTAAGGCCTAAAAGTTCACAAACTTTTTGATGTTAGGCCCTCTTTACACTCTTAATAAATGACTGAGGATTCCAACGAGCTTTTGTTTATATGGGTTATATCTATCTAACGATAATTTTTAAATATCTACCAAATTAAAAATGACCAAAAACCTATTGCAGGTTAAAGTACAAATTAGTCATTGATAGAGGGTCACAGGGATGGGGAGCATGGCATAGAGAATGCAGTAAGGTAATGGCTATGTGTAGAGGGAAGATAATCAGGGGGATCGTTTCTAATCAATGTACTATACCTGAAACTAATAATAAAATAAAATAAAATGCTTTAAAAAACCCATTACATATTCACTTCAGATTTCATTTATGAAAAATTAACTATCTTTTTCATTACAAAACAAAAAATGTAGTGAGAAGAGCGGCATTGCTTTGCATCTTTGTAACGCTGCTTCACGTCCGACTTAATACAGCAGCCCGAGTCTCATATCGGTGCAATTATCACACACCATGATAGAACCTTTAGAAAACTCCACCCTACAGTGGAGTGTTTGAGAGGATGAGAATGGAAAAGGCAAGTGACATACTGGTGTCATTATAAAAAGTTTGACTTCACCAGTCCCTTGAAAGGACCTCAGGAACACCAGGCCACGCTTTGAGAACAGGTGCTCTGTGCTATACTCAAGTCCAAGAAGTACCAGAGAAATATCAAATCTCAAGTTTCAGAACCGAAAAGCACCACCAGGCATAGCAACCTGCCTCCAGGAAGAGAAAGGATTTTCACCTCATTTTACAAATGCAGCAGAAAGGTACATCCCTTGGCTTTCGCAGAAGCTGGAGAGAGAAGCAGCAGCAGGACAAAAGGAGGGGTCAACAGATCTGTTACCACACAGTCATGACCTACTGTCTCAGTCTCCAGCAGGGTGAGGCCACTCTGTCTGCAGTTGTGAGGACCTGAGGTAGCTGATCATGCAGACAATGGAGTGAGTGCCGACTTTTGCTCACCACAGCCTTAGTGCTGGGTTCTGTACTAAACGCAATCAGTCCTGACCTCATTAATTCCCATGGTGTCCTCCCAGGTATGTGCTATGATCACCCCGTAAGAAAATGACATTGAGAGAGACTGCACAGGTAGGAAAGCGGGAGGTCCCCATGCAAATTCAGCTCTAAATCCAGAGCCAAGGCCTCAACCCCTATGCTACACTGCCTCCTAGCAGGAGTGGCCTCCTGTTTCCTTCCCTTTTCCCCTCCAAAGGCTTGAAAATCCATAACACACACAAAAGTAAGGCCACCCAGACCTGAGAAGCCATCAAACGGTAGGCCCTCTGACTCAGTGACATGTTGACTGGGTGCTTCTGTCCTTTCACAATAAGAAAGGCGGAGGACATGGGAGCCACGGGGGACCTCAAGAAGAGTCCCAGATGTGCCAAGCCAGGAAGTTCAAAACAACAGCAACTGTTATAGAAAACCCATTCCATCCCCATTCAAATAAAAGGTTTTCCCTTTAACTTGCATCTCAGAGTTGAAAGGCGTTTTGAAGATGACATAGTCCTCCCATCCAAGAGGTTGCCAAAATGCCCCAAATGGCCACCAAGACTCTTTGAACTCCTCCATGGTGAGGGAACTCACTACTTCACAGCAAAGCCTATTTAATCTCTCCCCCTAAAATGATTATCTGTACTGAGTTAAAAGCTGTCTCTATTTCCCCAACTGACTCTATATCTACTCCTAAGGGCCACAAGTATAACTGTAATTCCTCTTCTACACAACAGATCTGCTAGTATTGAAAACAACTACCAAGTCCCTTTACCACTACTAGAATAGCTAAAATAAAAATGTGGCAACACCACATGCTGGCAAGGATGCAGAGAAACTGGAATTTTTTTCAAATATTGCTGGTGGGAATATACAATGATACAGCCGCTTTAGAAAATACTTTGGCAGTCTTTTTATAAAGTTAAACATGCACATATCATACCACCCGGTAATCCTACTCCTAATATTTACACAAGACAAATGACAATTTATGTTCACCAAAACCAGCATACAACTCTTTACAGTAGCTGGTGAATGGATGAACAACAGCATTACAATCCTACAATGGAATATTATTCAGCAATAAAAAGGAATGAGCAAACTACCATCACACACAAGAGCATGGGGGAAATCACAAATGACTTATGTCATTAAGTGAAAGAAGCCAGAAACAAAAGGCTATATACTATACGATTCCATTTATATGATATTTATATGAGAAAAGGCAAAACTACAGGGGCAGAAAAGAGATCAGTGGTTGCCTGGGCCTGAGGGTAGAGGGACTAAAGACAGACTACAAAGCCGCAGAAGGAAATTTTTCTGGGTGAACGAACTGTTCTGTATCTTAATTATGGCAGCGGTTAAACGACTATACATTTTTTGGAGTCAAAACTCATTGAATTGTACACCTGAAACTTAACTGGATTTCGTTAACCAATGTTACCATAAAATAAATTAATTATTTTTTTTTAAAGCTCATTGAACTATATACTAAAAAGGGTAAATTTTACTGTATGTTATTATACCTCAATGAACATGACCTTAAAATAAATTGTTTAAAAAAAAAAATCTGTGGTGCCCTAAACTAAAGCCATTATCCCAGGAATGGTGTGGCTGGTGAAGAGATGTGGATTGTCAAGCCCCTCACCAGTCACTGCAGTTATAGGAAACATTTTAAGTAATAAGCAAAATAAAACTAACTTCAAGTGAGTTGTCCAAAAAATGTCAAACGCCTTTTCCTCTGTTCTGCCCTG